TATTTAATCTGGGTATTAGGAGGCGCAGTTCAAGGCCCGGCCATTGGAGCAAAATTCTACTGCCAGATGCACCCACTAGACCACAGGTGCTCTATGTTGCCCTCCTGCGTTCACCAAGCCCCTTGCAGAAGTGAGATGTGTCACAGCATGGATGGGCAAAACCTCTCCACCAAGACTGTAATGAACACTTTTGCACCCCAAAAGCTTCTAGGCAGGTTCTCACCTAATGAAGAAAGGAGAAGCTTTGAAGGCACTCAGGATCCTGGTGTGATGGTAAGTTGGCTAAAAACTGCTGGTTTATGACCTACTGTTTCATGGTTCATTAGTATGATGTCATTCTTCTGGTCTTTCTCCAACACACACTCAAAACGACAATAAGCAAAGTTTTTTACTGGCCAACTAGTATGTTGTCACCATGTCAGGATTCCCAAATAATGGAAGAAAACACATGAAATCAGTGAAGATGGTTTTGTGCACCTGGAGAACTGCAAAAAGTAATAGATGAGACTACAATATATTACATAGCAAAGTCAAAGCTTCCTTACATGGGTTTATGAGCCTTTCAGAAAAAAAACCCCAAACATTTGTGTTCAAAATAGATTTGACTACAGTCATAAAAGCAAGATCAAGCAGCTGAGGGTACCATTCTCCATGTAGACTAGAATAAAACATAATTTGCCAATGACAACAACTGGAAAAGAGAGAGGAACTTGCCAACTGAAAGGTGTCTGACAGATAACACAGAAACAAGTTAAGAAGATAAACACAGGCCATCTTGATGCTGTCCTCTACAACTTGTATTACTGAACTGATAACTAGGCAAGAGAGTGAAAAGGACACACTATGATGTAAAATTGCATTCAAGGAAAATATTCATTAAACTGGGTGACTTCTGATTGGCTTCAATAGCCAAAGCAGCAAGATACTGAGCACCGGGGAACATCTCTGTTTAAACAAGGGAGGGAATAATAAATGGTAAAATTCATCCTTTCAGAAATTGAATGAATTTTACCAGTTCCCGCTGTGATGGCTATGGCTACAGAAATGTGGGTGCTGGTCTGTGTCAGGTCATCAAACAGCAGTAGGCTGTCTAAACTGAGAAGTGGACAAGATGCAGCATTGCTTCCTTCTGTTGTTCTGGATCCTGAGCAGTGTGTGGCATGCTTAAGTGCCTAAAGAAGAAATAGACCACAATTTACAGTTGGGGAGCAGTCAGCTTCTGACTCTAGAAATAAACTATGCAAACAGCCTGCATGGAAACTTGAATACCACTGCTGAAGAAACACATTACAGGTTTCCATGCTGCTGTCACGTGTGAAATAAAGATTATTTTGGTGGAAATGTGAAAGGAACAACCATTTAATTTATTACGAGATGAAATTCTTAAACTAACATATTATCTAGTTCAGCCTCCTGGGACAATTTACGTCTGACCCCTGATGTCAGCAGCTCATTCGACTCATTTTAGGAGGCGCGGAATGAAAGAGGTACTGCGCTTTCACACAAAGCGATCAGTTAGCCTACAGCAAATTACTGAGTCAAATCTCAAGGCAGCCCTGTGAATCTCAACCTCATTTACTAACCAAAGGAAAGCTTCAGTGATGGAACAGAGTAACAAAGCCCCTAATATATCACAGCTCCATTGCACCCAGGCTGTGAAGTTTATATTTCCCCAACAACTTGAAGACAATATCGTGTGTCAGAGCACATGCGCATGTCATTAGCATGAACATTAAGAGGAAATGAACATAAATCCCAGATTCAAATGTGTAGTTTGAACATCCTGGGACAATTAAATTATTGATAATGGTTATCTGTCACCAAGCAATAAATCATAAAGTCATGGTACGGTGGAAGAAAAGCTATCTTGCTGCTGACAGATGTGTAGACTGAAAGACATAGTGGGCCTTTAAGGTTCCAGAAATAATTGCATCAAGGTGAAAGATTTCTTCTCTTGCTCTTTTTTCTCATCAACTATAGTATTTCCATACTCAAAACAACACTTTCTTGTGACAACTTTTCTTACTTGGCCTCTACGCTTTCTGACATTTTAATGAAAATGAGGAATAAAGCTGAAAATGAGAAGCCGGTGAGGAGCAGGCCTGGCTTTATGGCCAACAGCTGGAGCACAGTGCTCTCTGCAGAGCTGGAAACTGGCTCCTGAAATTGTGAAAAGTGATGGATACTCCCTGCTGATGGTACCATCAATGTAAATAAACTGACACCCTCCCCCTTACCCCATATTACAAAACTCTGAAAATACAGGAATCGCAGACTGAGCAGATGCCAGCGAATGAACGGGACAGAGGCTGACCCAACTTTTTCAGTCACTTCATTTTTGCAACTGAAATAGAACTCTATATTGAGTTTGTACACCAAATTGCTCTGCACTGAATATAATACTGAGCTCCCATGCGCGGTATAGCCATATTTCCTAAGAGGCTACAGGTTTATGTGGACAAGTAGCAGCTGGTGGAAAGAGAAAGGAGTGAAGGCATTTCCCTTCCAGGCACAGGAGCTGGGGAGTAGGAGCTGGCTGGTGCCCGGTTATACATGGTGGGAATGCCGGGTCCGGGCGGCTGCGGCTGCTTGAGTTGGTGCCAGGGCTTGAATAGGCTGGCACTGCCAGGAGGGGTGTGTGAGCAGCAAGTGGGACCCAGCTTTGTGAGGATCCCTTTTCAGAGGGCTGCAGTGCTGTGAAACTCAACACAGCTCTGCGGAGAAAGTGGAAGCTTTTCAAATGTACACGCTGTACTGCACTGCTCGGAGAGGCCAGGGATCACATTCATTTATTCATTTTCCAACAACTAAATCTCTTTATATTAATTGCAAAGCATTCACCAATTTGGCCAAAAAAGATGTATTTTTAAGAATACTGATCCTTTGCCTGTGTGGGGATCTGTATCGATTTCAACATTTCTTCTCCTTGTACAGAATTCAAAAACTGCAAGAACAGTAAAGGAAAAGAAAACAGCACAAATAAGTCATCTTAAGTATGGGATTAACTGTCTGAGGTCTTAAAATAAAGGCTTCAGATGAACTACTCCAAGGTATAAGGACTACCAGTGTGAGTAACAGTGGCAATCTGAGGCCATTTCATTGTCAGGAACGTGACATTTATTGCCCTGACACCTGTATCATAAAATTAAGTTTACATTAGAATTTATTCCAGTTGAAATCCAAACTAGAGGGTCAAGAGTGCCTTGAGAGGTCATGTTAGGGACAACAATTATTGTCAGGGAGTTTTTTTTCCCCTCAACAATTTGAAAAATAAGCCACATTTTACGTATTATTCATGTGATAAACTGTGTCTACAGCTTCTTCAACAGCAAAGACAAAAATAAAATCAAGCCTCTCCTCTTCCAAATGAATTTGGCAATTAGCATTTATTTTAGAAGTATTTTTGGGTACAGTGATGAAGCACATGATACTACTACAGCTGTGACATCAGTATAATAATATGGATATATTTATTCAAAATAACATACCAGGCCTGTGGGGCAGAGTTGAAGAGTACCTAAAATAGCATTTGCTTGGTCATTGGCTGCTGGTGGAACTTGTAACAACTCCACAATTATGTTGCTGTTTACACTGATTAAAAAATACTAGTTGGATTAATATTTCGATCTCCACAGTCGGCACCAGTCCGTAGTTAGTTTCCTTTAAAATACTCTCTAAACCGTCCCTAAGGGCCTGTTGCAATCCTTCTTTTGCAGAATTGCCTGTGTCTTCTTAAAGTAAATTTTAAATCGCAGAATCACAGAATGGTTTGGATTGGAAACGACCTTAAAGATCATTTAGTTTCAACCCCTCTGCCATAGGCAGGGACACCCTCCACTAAATGAGCCTTCATGTCTGCTTCAGAGAAAACACAAAAAGTTGGATTTGCATTATGTCTTCCTTAGAAGCTTCTGTAAGCAGTGTAACTAGTTGCCTTGAGTAGCCATGCTAGTTAGAGGAAAAATAATGAAATTACAACTGCTTCCAAAATAAGAAAATTGTTAACTATTAAGGGAAGTAAAAAAAAAATTCTGACATTTATTTTTTTTTGGGGGGGGGGGGTGTTTCAGCTTTGTCAGCAGTCTGTGTCTGTAATTCAGACATTACTGTTCTCAAGTAAATGCCTTAGTATTATTTGTTGAGTACGGTCCACAGAGTGGGTCTGTAATCTATAATATCAATAGTTGTTCCTGTGCTTTTTTGAAAGCAGCTCTAATTCCAAACATAATTCTATGCAGAAAAATAAAGTAACTACATCAATACAATGTTGTCCTCAGTTTAAAAATGAAAAGAAACACAGTAAGATAACGTGCAAATGTAAATGTAATACCCTACATTTTATTTACAGCTGGTAGATTTTAATTTGAGTTAAATGCCATGTTAATTAAAACACATTTCACCAGCTACTTATAAAATTAAGCACCATTTTGTCTGATGTTGGTAGAGGCAGGAAATTTGGAGTGATGTCTACTGCTACAGCTGTTTGCAGCCCTTATATAATGCCAGATGCGAGATTGATGTATCTGCCTTTTGTCCTCTCCTGTGAATTGCAAGTGATCAAACAGGCAAAAACATAATGACAGGATGATTGGACAAGTTTAGCACGAAGGGAATTGTTGAAGACATTCATAAATCACTGCACAACCACACACATAGTGAAAGAAAATTTATTGTAGTGTCACAGATAAGCAAAACCATTTATATCTACAATGAATTTCAAATACAAGAGTATTAATCGTAGAAAAGTCTTTGCCATATCTTAACCAATAGTCTTTTGAAAGATGTAATACTATCAACCACGCAAAACTAGGTGTGTTTTATAAAAGCTGTGTGACAAACAAGCAATGTGAAAACAAACATAATTTTCCAATTATTCTTGTTATTAAATTATCCTCATATAAATGAGCTTTGCTGTGAAATACAGATGCTAGAAGGAGTAATCATCTATTTAAATGTAGCCGTATTCCAAAATGAGTGTGTTGGTAAAAGCTGCTAGAGCATCATCCATACTTTGCTTTTTCTGTTGCTAGAGCCAATCTGCGAATGTTTGCTATGCAACCAGCTGCTGCCTCCTGCAGAGTTTCATCTGTGGAGCCTACCATAGGCAGTAGGAGCTAGCAAAAATACAAAAGAGACACAGTGTAAGAAAAACAAATAGGTGTGCTATTATCTAAATAACATGCAAATCGTATCTAGAACAATGGCATGAATTTAGCCACACACATAATAGAATTCTAAAATTCATATTAACATCACTATTATATATGTATGTATACTTGTATAAGTATATATATGTATACTTTGTATACATATATGTATCAATATATATATTATCAATCATATATATATACTTTTGTATACATATATGCATCAATATACATATAGTGCACACTGCTTTATATTTTATCCTATCTGTACCTGTCAGTTTATATTTTCATGTCTGCTTTTCTGTTTATTGCATCATGCCTGCCTATTGGTTGTGACTTGGACTTTTTCTTGTAAGTAGAAATTGCATATGCTTTATTTGAAATCATGGGTTTCCCCCAAGGTATACGAGTATATTTGTACATGCTCAAGAGTTTTAATAAACAAAGCCATGCTTTTTTTTTTAGCCTTGATCATGAAACTGCATCCACATGAATGGACTCTCGTGTCCCATTGACTGCAGCAGGTTTCTTTATCGTCACAGCAAACCACTCACATTAAAGTGCTTGAGGGATACAGATCTGAGTATATCAGTCCTACACATTTGCACATAAAAGTAAAAAGCAAAAGCTCAAGAAAGGCGCCAAACTTTTGGAGCTGATTCAGCTTTTCAGTCATGTGTTCTAGTCCTTTATTCTGGAAGTAATTCAATTTTTTTCCAGTGGAAATTCCCTTGGAGCAAGGTGCTGCTCAACACAAGTATGACATAAGACAAGCCCTGATGATAAAACATTTTTGCATATCAGAAAACCATTAATAATGTTTTTTGCTTTCACTTGTTCAGTGTGTTGCAAGTCAGTGATGCAACTGCAAATGCAATATATGTTGGAAAACAGAACACTCTTGCTTAGCTTAAATCAGCTCCATGCAATCCTCAGATCTCTGAAAATCTGCCAAGCCTAATGTGTGTTCAGGTATTTTGAAGCTCAGACAGCTCTAATTAAAACCTATATTTTCAGTCTGCAATACTTCAGATTCTGTGTTCACCCAAACAATGTTGAGTCAAACCGCAGAGAAATCTGTTATCACTCAACTCTGGTGCATATTTTTTATACAGCTAAAATATTACACAAAATTATGAACTGCTAAATATAAAAGCATAAATTGAATGCAGACATCAAATTCGTATGCTACCTTTTTCTAACCTTCCAGCAATTGTGAGGCATGGGCCACAGCTGCACACATATGGCATTCACTTAGAGAGATCAAAGCATTTTATACTTGAGGAAGTATTTGTGTTAGCCAAATGTACAAAACAAACATCTTGCCAGTCACCTTTCACCCTTTGACCCCTACATGTAACTTTTAAGAATGCTTGTGATAGGCGTGAAATATGTCAGAAGAGTAGTATGTAAATTAAGTATCAACTATAAATTTTTCTAGCAATTCTTCTTCCTATAATTTCCATTACTGTAATCAGGTATGTGGTTCTCAGCAACCTGATATAGTTGAAGATGTCCCTGCTCATTGCAGGAGGGTTGGACTAGATGATCTTTATAGGTCTCTTTCAACCTGAACTATTCTATGATTCCATGATTCTATGTCTATGTACAAGTATCTAAATAAGAACTCTTACGGTATGAACATTTCTAAAAGGATATGCCAGAGTTAAAACTACATGAGAGGAAACGATATGAGAAAGCTTTATGTTCTTTATTTGTGTGCAAAATCTGGGCCAGGGTCAGCAACCAGAGAAGTCAGTGGAAGCAAGACTTCAACTGACTTCAACTGGAAGCAAGACCAAGGAGCACGTCTCTGTGTAGTGATAAAGCTGCTCTACAAAGCACAAAGGCTAGAATGCAAGTCTTATTAGATGTTTAACCTTTTTTTTTTTTGTTAAGAAATATTGCTGGATGACGATCTTTCTTCCTTGTTATTTCCCACCAGCTGATTTCTTATCAGCTTAGACTATAAAGTGCTTCTTTGGGTGCCTCACAACTTTCTTGTATAATTTGCACAATAAAACTGGTATAGATCCTTCACATCCCTGAATCAAAACCTAAAGTATGTATGTACATACTGTTCATACAGTGGTTTTGGTAAAGCCATAAGTTTCAAGTCTGGGGGCAAAGAAACTATATGCCTTATGTGATTATTCACTGCATCTTCACAGACCTAATGGAAGGTTTTTTTCAGTGTACTGAGTGTGGAAGTCAAACTTTCAGACTAATTTCAGTGTAAGACTTGTTACCAACGCATAAGAGTGGAAGTTCATCACAAAAATAATGGTTTGAAGATACATTATCTATCAGAAATACAGCAAAACCCAAAGATAGACCTTTGCCTTAATAATGACTACATGTTAGGTAGGGCTCAATTTAAAGTTATTCATTTCTTCTTTCAGACACTACTTCTTTCTAGACTCAGAAGACTTAGGAAAATAGGTATTTTTTTGTCACTTTCCATGCAGAGCTCAACATTAAGCAATGACAATGGCTGTAGGGGAGGGACTGTGCTTTTTGTTGCAGGTGTATTTTGGAAAATCATGGTTAAATATCAAAGAAGAGCATACATGACACTGGCTCAAAATTACCAAATAGGTGCCTGAAGAATTACTGGTACTAATGCAACCAATGCAAACAGCAATTTTTAGAAAGGTATCAAATACTGATTGTTCTCCTTCTGAGTTCCGGAGATAAGGATCAGTTGCTCTCTAATTTGTTTTTCTTCTAAAACACTTGCCAGAGGTAACATCTTTAAGAACCGCCACGTCATACAAAATCCTGTACTACACTGCATCTCAGGATTTGCACAATATGCACAATATGACTTCAAAGAAATATTCTTGGAAACACAGTCCAGTACAGTAGCTGCCTCTAAGGACTGAGGATATACAGCAACATTCGTCAGTTAACCTACTCCTTTTGTGCTAACAAAAAGACAGCTGAAGAGAAGATTATTGAGAATGCAAAATATTTCAATATAAGTAGGTAATTCCATACTTAGGAATCTAACTTTGAAGATTTTTATATAAATCCTGCCTTAAATGATAATAAAATTTTGTTCTTTTTGTATATACCAAGAAAGATATAATTCTTTCACTTCCTGACTGCCACTCCTTGACCCTTTCATGGGTTCAGTTCAATTTACTAGCAATTTGGGTCATGCAGCTCAGGTATGGAAATGTATTCATAGACAGCATACACAGCCTATATCCATATATAAGAAACATTTGACAAGTCTGAGAAATCTTCTTTTTTATTCCAATGCACCAATACAATATGACATATCCTTTTTCTTGATGCAATGTCCTTCAACTTCATGTATCCCTTCCTTTTACTGTTCAGGTATTGTTTGCTGACACATGTAAATGTTAACAGATGTGTGAAGCAGTAAAACGCATGTGGTATAAATGCTTCTTTCTGGCACATATGAGGCATTTTCCATAGACAGAGAAAGCATTTGCAGCACTGTGTAGCCTTCATTTTCTGTTGGCAGGTATCTATATTCTAAGGCAAGAATCCAAAATTTTTTGCACAGTTAGCACGTCATACCAGCAAATAAGCACAAATACAAGCTGTTTGGAGAACGTACAGAGCATATGTAGCATTTCTGGGTTCCAAAAGCAAGAGCAATGCACAGCCAGATCATTTAAATATTCAGAACAATTAAGATTTTGCTATTACTATCCCAGCTTCAAAATAGCACAGAACTCTGATACTATATTAAGATTGCACAATCATAGAATAATTCAGAAGGGAAGGGGTCTCAGGAGGTCTCTAGTCCAATGTCATGCTCAAAGCAGAATCAACTATGAGGTTAGATGAGGTTGCTCACAGTTTTATTCAGCCTCACCTTCAAAACCTCCAACGATGAAGATGGCACAACCTCTTTGGGCAGTGTTTGCAGTGTTTGACTGTCCTCATAGACCCTGCACACAGTTACTATTATTTCAGTTTATGCCTGTTGTCTCTCATCCTCTTCCCACACACCACTGTGAAAAGCTTAGCTCCATCTTTTTGACGACTGACCTCCTTGTCCTTCAGCCTCCTTGACTTCCCAGAGCCCTTCAGCAACTCCCCTTGTCACCAGCCTCCAGGTAGAATACAATCCATTAACTACTACCCTCTCAGCTGGATCATCCAACCAGTTTTAATCCATTTGGTGGTTCACACATCTAGACTCTACAACGTTGTAACCTGGACCAAAGTATGCTGTGGGAAACAGTTTTGAAAACCTTGCTAAAGCCAAGGTAGAGGACATCCACTGCTCTCCTCTCATCTACAAACTTAGACACATGGAGGGCGACCAGTTCACTGTTCCAAATAATTTCCTTCTTATGCACAGAAATGTGTTCCGAAGGGACTCGTCCCTAATTTCCCCACATGCTGACCAGTCTGTAGCGCCCCAGACTGGGAGGAGGAATTGCTGCTCTGAAGAGACTATCTGCAAACTCTTACTGTTTTACACTCTCTGGCATGCCAAAGGTGTAACGAAATCAGAAAGTCTTTTGTGCCTCAGGACAGTAGTAAGAGGTGAGGAGATAAACCATAATATTTGCTTGCACAGTCGTGTATCATGAATGATGCCATCTCCCACTGTCTGGAAGCACAGCTTCCTTCCACATAGTATCCTTACTGTCACAAAATAACCAATTGAAAATGTTATTTCAAACAAGATAACACAAACAGCAACATAAGAACTTGTAAAAGTGTCATTCCAAAATGGTGTGGATCCCTGGATGAGTAAGAAGAGTAGTAAAAAGGGGATAGTAATTCTTTCTAGATTTTTTCACTTCTAGGAAAGAAGTAGCACAAGAAGATTTGAAAGCAGAAAAAGTGTAGACAACCAACAAATCCTGAATCTGACAAAATCTCAGGTGGCAGAGATGCTCCATGTACTGGTTACAATAATGTGTAAGTACCCACTTTCTTTTAGTCAGTCATTGCAGCTTCCAGACTCAGAGGCG